CTCCTGATCAAAAATCAATTGCAATTGGGAGACTTTATGAAAACTTGTGGGCCTTATCTGCACAAGTGCTGCTGCATGGAAAATAGCATGACCCCATACTGAAATAGGGAGTTTTGTTCTCATAAGCATTTGTCTAGCAATTAATTGGAGGCGTTTGATCAATGATTCTGCTAGACCATTTTGTGTATGAACATGAGCAACGGGATGCTCAATTATTATCCCAGTTGATATACAATAATCAGTAAAGGCCTGAGATGTAAACTCAACAGCATTATCAAGACGAATTGTCTTAATTATATAATCTGGAAATTGTGCTCTTAGTTTTATTATTTGAGCCAACAATCTCGCAAATGCCATATTGCGAGTTGATAATAAGCACACATGTGACCATCTTGTATATGCATCTACCAAAATCATATAATATTTTAATGGTCCACATGGAGGGTGAATGGGCCCACATATATCACCATGTATACGTTCCAAAAATGTAGGGGATTCCATCCTAACTTTAATAGTTGATGGTCCAATAATTAATTTTCCTTGAGAACATGCAGCACAAGAGAATTCCTTAAATTGAAGAATCTTTTGATTCTTCATTGAATGTCCATGTGAATTCTTAATTATTTTACGCATCATAGTAGAACCAGGATGACCCAACTGGTCATGCCAAATAATAAAACTATCTTAATTAGTAAACTTCTCATTTACTAGGGCATGTGTTTCAATCCTGCTAATACTTGTGTAATATAAGCCGGATGAAAGAGCGGGTAACATTTCAAGCACATATTTCTTACCCGAGTTTATTATAGTAATATAAAGATATTCAATCTTTTCATTATTTGTAGTCTCAATGTGATATAAATTTTGACGAATATCTTTTAAACTTAGTAAGTTTTTTTGAGACTTACTACAATATAATGCTTCATTAATAGTCAAATTTGTTCCTCCGGGTAGTTATAAATTTGCTCTTCCTGAGCCTTCAATTAATTTTGTACTGCCAGATATTGTATTAATATTGGCTTCTTTCATCACCAAATAAGAGAAATATCCCGTATCTCTTAAAATAGTATGTGTTGTAGCACTATCCAAAAGACATATATCATCTTTATTGATCTTGAATCTAACTGAAAACTAGAAAATTTTCATATTCTTCATAAATAAACAAAAGATACATCATAAGAAATACGAAAGAGTATAAATAAAAGAAACATTAGAAATTATACGAGGAACGTAGAAACTAGCATATATGATGCTTTAGGAAAGTACACTAGGAAAAACAAACTACATAAAGACATAATATGAAAATAACAACTTTTCTAAAGCTTTATTCCCCAGTAAGATAATCACTTCTTCAGTCAATATCCTCAAAGAAGTCTCCGACTTCTAAATGAGTAATATTTGTAAGGCCTCCAAAATCATCATCTTTATATGCAAGATTTGCCTCAGCATCATCATATTTGTTTGAGGGACCTGCTTTATCATCATTATTTTGAAAAGTCAAGTGTGCCTCCACATTGTTATCTTTTTTTTATTGGATGCTTGATAAAGTTTGACAAAATGGTCAGGTGTACGACAAACACGTGCCCAATGACCTTTCATACCACACTTGTGGCAAATATTAACTCTGCCTTTAAAGGATTATTTTGAGAATCCTTATTGTTCTCTTATTTATTTCCACTATGATGACGATAATTATTTCGTCCCCTTCCATGTCCATGTCCACATCCATGACTATGGCCACGACCACGATAATGATTTTGTCTTCCTTCAAACTTTTGAGCAACTGCTACCATATTCACTTCGAAAAATGGTACAGATCCAGTGGGACGTGCTTCATGATTTTTCATTAAAAGGGTATTATGTTGCTCAGCCACCAAGAGGCATGAGATTAATTCAGAGTATTTCTTTAAACCCTTTTCACGGTATTGTTGCTGCAATACCATATTTGAGGCATGAAAAGTATAAAGAGACTTTTCCAGTAAATCCTCATCATTCACAATTTTTCCACATAATTTAAGTTGAGAAGTTATTTATGAATACAACAGAATTATATTCACTTACAGTTTTAAAATCTTGTAACTGTAAGTGAATCCATTCATATTGAGCTCTTGGCAATATCGTTGCCTTAAGATGGTCATATCGTTCCTTCAAACTGATCCATAATTCAAATGGATCTTTTAGAGTTAAGTATTTAGTCTTTAACCCTTCATCGAGATGATGACGAAGGAAAATCATAGCCTTTACTTTATCCTGACGTGATGTTTCATTTCCTTGTATAATAGTATTTTTAAGAGCTTTTGCAGCAAGGTAAATTTTAGCATCAAGGACCCATGATAAATAATTCTTTCCGGAGATGTCAAGTGCCACAAATTCAAGTTTTGATAAATTCGACATAATAAAAATCATCATTAAAAAATAGATAAATTAGAATCAATTTGGGTAATTATGAAACAAGAAAAATAAAATAAAATAATAATAATAATAATAAATCATGTAATATGGTATTCATATTTATATAAAGAGAGTTCAATACATTTTTGAATCAATAAAATTAACCGAAAATTTCTGTGGCAAATTCTTAATTGAATTCAGAGAAAAATAAACAAAAAGAGAGGTAAAACTCAACTGTAATTATGGCAAAGTCTTGCTACGGAATGATTTAATATACATATTCTATATATTCTTATAATATCTTAATAACAAATTTATAATGATCTTACAATCTAAATTTGACATTTGTATATATTTTAAAATTTTGAATAAAATGCCAATCTATAATTATTTTAAAACTTATTGGCAGTATACTCATAAAAATAACTGCATAGTGTCTTAAACCATAAATTATATGGATGTATCACTTTTATGTGGTTACCCGAATAATTAATTCCATGTAATGGAGCTTACCTAAGCATAGAATTGATTGTTTGAAAATATTTAAAGAATGGTAACATCTAAATTAATTGGTATATGTGCAGATTAGCGATCAATCTTGGGAAAAAGAAAATTAAACATACCAGAAAGCAGAGTGGTGGTAGCTAGTGTGTGCTGGATCGGACTTGAGTAGAAGCTAATTCATGTTGATAACGTGTTATAAAATATAGCTTAAAGTAACAATATATAATAAGAAAAAACAAGCTAAGAGATATAGAGATAAAGAGGGAATAGATTTTCTTTTTCAATTATATATATTTTCCTATATATTACAAGACCTTTATATATACATGAAAAGTAAAGAAAAATATGTCATTTAATATGTTATTAAGTATTTGAGATGAAAATCATGAAGACGTATAAGATAATTTGATTTTTGTTATAACAATTATATATTTTGTATACTTGCTACAATAAATTTGACCGGTTATTTGGATAAACATCCCAATTAATATCTCCATTATTGTATTTCAGTTCAGCAACTTCAAGAGTGAGTTACAATTACCCCAACCCCGGCCGGTTCGATTCATATCTGCACAAATTCACTCGCCGGAGTATTTTTTCAGCCAGCAAAAGACCAATTTAACTCGCCGGAAATTCGCCGGATTTGGGTGGGTTGTTCCATGAGGAATTGGTTATGGTAAAGGTACAAATCTAACTTAAGTTGATTTCTTGTCTTCTTCATTTGATTACTGAATCAATACATGTATATTGAGAAAGATATATTGGACTTCAAACCATTGTGAAGTTTCCAGCTAATATTTTCAAAGTTTTTCCTCCTAAATAATACTACTCCACCTTTTTATTAGCTGACTTCTAATTTTCCGTAGGGGTTTGGACAATATTAGAGTTATAAAATGAAGAAAAAGCATTTGAAGCTGAAGGTTAAGAGAAAAAGTTTTTCGGAAGTTCAAATTGTATTTTGATATGAACTTCTCGCGGAAAAAGTTTATACAAGTTAAAAACTTGCAACTAAAAAAATAAATATAAAATAACATTTTAATATTTACTCGAAGTTCACATACTCAAATAACATTTATGCCTTCGGAGGCATTTGGACAATATTTGGTTGAAGCTTTAGAGCACCTGAAGCTGAAGTTGAAAAAAAGTTCTAGAACTGAATACTATGATTTTTACTTGGAAAAAAAATTAAAGATTAGTGAGTGAACAATTTTTTCACTTGAGATACTCTTAAAAAGTTTTTCAATATTTCACCAGTATTTCAAATAGTGAAGTTCAATATTTAGAAACGCTAATGGTCAAACTAGTTTTTGTACATAGAATGCCGTTTGGACTATATTTAATGTATGTTGGAAAAAAATTGAAGGTGAAGTTAAAAAAGTGCAATATTTTGAAGGTAGCAATATATTTGACTAGGTCCCTCGAGATGCCTTTTCATCATTCCACCATTTTTTGTCACTTGCTGTATAGATCATAGTACTCCATATAATATCTAATGACTTGCAGATTTCTGTGTTTGTTTAATGCTACTGCCTGGTATGATCCAATTTATGTATATCTTTAATTTCTCGAAGGGTCTGTCTTTTGTCCGATTTACGCAAAGGAGCAATTTTTACTGCTGATGATTACCTTTCTTGTTTTACCTTGTACTTTATACCTGTTTGAGATTCAAATTTTGTTCAAACTCAATAATTCTTCTCTATTAGTCGAAACAGTACAACTGCTTTAATCTGGGAATATGCTGGTCTAATTCTAAGATAGATGGTGAATTTTGTTGCAACTTTTGGCACCATCTTGACCTTGTCATCTATCAAAATTCTAGGAAAGGGTGTTTGTTGGGG